TAGGTCCCACCGAGGCGCTGGGCCGGCGCGCAGAGGCAAGGCAGGGGATGCTGTCCTCCTTCCAGCAGCTCCGGCCAGCACGGAGCACAGCACGCACCGATTCCCAGGCACAGCCAACAGCCTCGGCGGCAGCCAGGCCCTTCCTTACCCACGGCCACGCTCCGCGCCAAGCATACCATGGGCAGTCCCTCCAGCTTCACCGCCAGCGCAATGCCCTCTTCTTCACACGTTTCGGGCCGCCTGCTCCTTCACAGCAGCGCACTGGCACGGGGGCACAGGCATCAACCATTCCTCCCCTTCCCAAAAGGCCAGGCTGGCTCCAGTTTTCCTGACAATTTAGTCTTCAGGCAGCAGAAACCGGGATTGCAAAGGCTCAGCTGAAACCTCAACATTCAAAGTTACAACTTCCCATTTTCCAACAAGCCTTCCAGAAAACATCGCACTGCGCTGTTGCAGTTGCTCCCCCCACCTTCCCCCCCTCAATTCATTTTTACCTCAATAGCTGATGCAGTTGCTTTCTTGTAAAAACCCAGAGTTTAAAGATGACTTCTTCCACTTGCCGTAATCCATTGTGTGGGAGAAACAGACATACAATATCATATTGTTCCCTTTACAACACTTGGAGCTGTACTTTCTGCTCTGAACACACTGAAACTCCACTTGAGGCTACAGCAATTTCCATGCAGGAGGCAAAGGAGAATCTTGTATCTGATCTAATACAGGATAAATCAATGTGCACTCATTTGTTGCTTATAGTTCCCATCAGCTCAAGGAGAGACACTGTCCTAGAGTTTCAAGGCTATCCATGCTGCCTTTGTATGCGGAAAACATACCTCGCACTCGGAGATGTTCTTAGAACCCCGTTCGAACGCTTCCCAGGAGTTCGGGTGAGGGATGGGAAATCACGAAAGCCCGGCTGCTTCGCACCGTTTTCAGCACGCGGTTCTGGGAAAGGTCACGCAAGGATGGCAGCCCCATTTTCACCTCCTCCAGAAATTCAGTTCATATTAGTCATTCACCTCAGACAGGTGCTGGGAAGCTTAACGAGAGCGCGTACAGCGCTCAAAGATTCTCAGACAAGAGGTACCAGGGAAGGGCAGCGTGGTATCAATTAGCGTGGATTCAAGTGACGAAAGCGCTTCCCTGCCTCCTTCAGCTGCAGGAGCTCGAAACAAAACTTACCCAGCACTACGGTCCCTCGTGTTGTAGTCAGAGCAGCGTCAGCACCGGAGGGACCGCGTTTTTCTGGATGTGGTCGAATTCCTGTCAACTTTGCAGAATTCCGAGCTCGCGTTGCAGCCATAAACGGGAGTTCCCTGGAAGATGTGTATCCCAGCACAGGCCAAGGAAGGCAGAGTTTTAATATTCCTCCCCATGCAAGTATTTTCTCCCATTAAGTGCTTAAGAGCTGTGCAATCAGGGAGATTAATTTTTGCAGCTGGACATTTTCTTTACGAAGGTAATTTTCCACACAGTTTTCTCATTTAGCTTTCTTTTATTCGAACCCCAAGGCATTCACCTACCCACAAGAGGACTATTCTGCAAGGCTCGGGAAGGAACACACTCATGCACTTTGGTCCTTTCTTCTTACATTTGCAACAGGCTTGCTCTCAGAAACCCTGTTACTACTTGTTTCAACCCAGTAACTTGTCTGCGTTTCCGGACAATCAACACCAAGAGCCACAAATTCATTTGTCCAGGGACCTGCTTGTACCAAAGCCGCAGCATGGATCAAGTCTTTTTTTAAAAAAAAGTGCAAAAAGTTCCTTAAACTGGGAGCTGATGTACTGAAACCGCACAGATACACAGCGCTTGGCGAGAGACAGCAGTGAGGGTGGAATATAGATTACAATTTAGAGAGGTTCACGACATAGCAACGCAGAACTAGAGTGCAACTTAATTACGCTCAATCTCTGATGCACTAGCTTATGCTCACAGGCGGTTACACCCACGCTGGCTTTCCCTCAGCATCACCTGGGAAGAGGACGATGGGCCCTTCACTGCACCCAGGCCCAGCCGGTATCTGGGGACACACCTGAATAAAAGCTTTGTGTTTAACCGACACCGAATCCCTAGGAGTCGATGGCCAGGCACAGTAACAAGTGGCGTTTTCCTCAAAATTCTGGCTGAGTATTCTGGTATGAGAGTCTAAGCATAAGGAAGACAAAAACCAGAAGCAAGAGCCTCCTGACCTTCCCTGTCCCTATGCCTTCATCGCCACCCTTGCAGGCCCTCCCTCTAACGAAAATGACTTTTCACATACTATTCTTCCCTGAAAAAGACAAGCCTCTGAATAAAATCGTGAAATTACACAGTTCTGTTAACATCATTTCAGTCCTCAGCAGAGAAGTGGAGGCAGAGAGGAAACATTTGAATTCCTCACAGCCTCCGCGAGACACAACTTTTTTTCTGCATTTCACAGTCGATTTTCTTCGCAGGCACAGAGGAAAGCTGGACTACATGTTCTGTTTTTTAAACAAGCTTACTTTTGCAAGTGATGGCGTTTGTCTGCTCACTCACTAATTTAAGCTTCCCGCTTCTCAGAGATAAATGTGCCTTTCAAGTTGTTTACGCCAGCCTTCCTCTCCTAATCTTTCATCCCACTCTCGCAGCACCCACTGACTTCAGAGGGCTCCGTATCATTCAGCATCACTTGCACAGAATAAGGTCTCCATTTTTTCCAGCAAATTCAACTTTAACAGTGATTAAAACATATAGCCAAAATAACGCTTCTTCTCTGCTAAGAGACACGACGTTCGAAGAATTCCAGGAAACGAATTCTCAAGAACCACACAGCGATCTTTTAAGCAGCACTAAATTGGTCCCTAAACAATTTCCCTGTATTTCAAGGGAAGCAGATTATGGAATAGTTTTATTTATTAATACATTCATTCTCATAGTCGTGCTTTAACACATCTGTGTTGGCTTTAACCAAACGATAAAGCCCATACAACTTCTTTAAAGGGATAGGAGGTGATTGGAAGAAAAAGATGAGAGAAGGGCGATTAAAATTAGTCACAAGAAAGCCTATAAATACGCCACCGGACAGAGGAAGCATTCTCTCTTCTATTAAACTTAAAAATAGAGCGCTAAACTTTAAAAGACAAACTGATGCGATAGAACACACGTGATGGAGCAGCAATGCAGCAGAACTTAGAGAACATCAACCGGGCAATTTAGCCAGGGATGTGTGCTGCAGGGCTAGGAGAGGAACAGAAGAAGGGAGGAGGAAGAGGAGGAGGGAGGAGGAATCTCGGTTGTCAGAAAGTCACTGCTGGCTCAGGAAGTCAGAGAAGGAGGAAATTAAGGGAACCTATATGACTGCAAGAGAGACGTCCAGTCACAGAGGTGCAATAGAATAGAGGTGTAACATAGGAAAGCGAGATGCCAGGCCAGGAAACCATTTATTCGTTACAGACATTCAGCTGGAGGCAGCAAGAGCTCGAAGGGGCTCACACGATCCGTGCGTGTACCTGCAACATCAAGCGGCAGTCAGAGAGGCGCGCTGAGCAAAACTCCTTAAACACATTCAGCGAGGAATAACGTGAAACAAAAACTCACTGAACACGCTCAAACACATCTACTGTTCCCTTCTCACCCACTGCAGGGCGACGGTTTTAACGAAGGTGCACTGAGGAGAAAGCACCGCTCCTCAGACAGCAGCTTTTGCTTCTTTAAAGGGATAGGAGGTGATTGGAAGAAAAAGATGAGAGAAGGGCGATTAAAATTAGTCACAAGAAAGCCTATAAATACGCCACCGGACAGAGGAAGCATTCTCTCTTCTATTAAACTTAAAAATAGAGCGCTAAACTTTAAAAGACAAACTGATGCGATAGAACACACGTGATGGAGCAGCAATGCAGCAGAACTTAGAGAACATCAACCGGGCAATTTAGCCAGGGATGTGTGCTGCAGGGCTAGGAGAGGAACAGAAGAAGGGAGGAGGAAGAGGAGGAGGGAGGAGGAATCTCGGTTGTCAGAAAGTCACTGCTGGCTCAGGAAGTCAGAGAAGGAGGAAATTAAGGGAACCTATATGACTGCAAGAGAGACGTCCAGTCACAGAGGTGCAATAGAATAGAGGTGTAACATAGGAAAGCGAGATGCCAGGCCAGGAAACCATTTATTCGTTACAGACATTCAGCTGGAGGCAGCAAGAGCTCGAAGGGGCTCACACGATCCGTGCGTGTACCTGCAACATCAAGCGGCAGTCAGAGAGGCGCGCTGAGCAAAACTCCTTAAACACATTCAGCGAGGAATAACGTGAAACAAAAACTCACTGAACACGCTCAAACACATCTACTGTTCCCTTCTCACCCACTGCAGGGCGACGGTTTTAACAAAGGTGCACTGAGGAGAAAGCACCGCTCCTCAGACAGCAGCTTTTGTTTCCCCCTCTCCCAAATGAGTACCTGGCACAACAGGAGTATGGAAAGTACTCCAAGTTCTTTGATGAGAATACAATAAAGATGTTAATGGGATTTATCAACACATATCGCTTTCCTTATTGCAAAAATCGGTGTGAACTAGAAATAGGCAAAACAAGAGCTGCAAAGGACAGATGCTTTATGGCGCCAGGAAAACACGACACAGCTGCAGCTGCTGCACCCGACAGCGCAGGACCGTGGCACGGCATGGCGGGTCACTGTCAGGAAAAGGAGACGCTCTGGGCCAACACAGAGGAAAGCAGAGCTGAGCTGAAGGACGAGGAGGGCACAGGTTATCACACAGAAACCACAAAGGACACGGGTTAGAAATGGCATCAGTAGGACCCGTGCATCCAGCGTCCTCTGCCCTCCTTGGTGTAACACGGGTGCTGTGAGTAAACAAGCAACGCAACAAGCAGCTTCCTGATCCGATTTTCTCAGGCAGCCGCCAGGACGCTGAACGACAGCTCCAAGAGTCTCAGGTTCCGGCAAGCGCAAGAAAGAGCGGCCACCACAAAGAGAAAAAACAAGCGAGGCCGTCACAGCGGGCAGGAAACAACGACAAAGCGGTCTTACTTTCGTTAGGCAGCTCCTCCCGCTCCAGGTCATCAAGAGGGGCTGAGGCGCTGCTTCCAGTGTCGTCCAGGGTGAGGATGAGGGGGACGTCATCATCCATGCTCACGGCCATCCTGCCCCTTCAGAGGCTCTGGCTCCAGGAACTTTAATAAATAACGCCTTCTTCAGTTCCACTTGTAAAACTTTTATGTCAAAAACTCTCCCCAGGAAGCCTCCCATCAGGGGTGTCTTCTAGACATGAGAATATAAAGGTACGTGTGCCCATCTCTAGAGACCGCAGCTCAAAGCAGGATCTACTTATCTGCCTTCGAAAAGCAGCGCAGGACGCTAGACACAACTGCAGGAATTCTGCGCA